CTCATTCTTTTGACTGGCTTCTTTCACTTAGCATCATCCTTCCGGGCTTGCTGTCGGTGCAGATTGCCGCTCATCCCTTTTTATTGCCGAGTGGTATTCCACCGGATGGACGCACCGCCTTTGGTTGATCCGTTTGCCAGTTGAAGAGCGTGTGCACTGTTCCCACTTTTGTGAGAGGAAGAATCATGATCCACAAGCATCTGCACGCAAGTTCGGGTGTTGACTCACGATTCCATTTATCTCGGGCAGGTTCCCTGTAGTTGTAATCCCTTTAACATGCATGTAGTATTTGAACTTAAGTGTAAACTATCTTTTATCTATTTTAAAATAAAGCGTTGACTTTTGAGAGCATAAACTCTTTCCTAAATGTGACCCAGGTAAACAAACTTCCCATTTGAGAACTTACTAGCATCCTGCAAATTCCTCACATTTATCAGCCACGCACTTCCTTTGCCTTTCGGGACACGTGGGGGCTTTGTACAAAGCCTGACGCCGTGTGAAGGGCGGGGGGGGGGGGGGGAGAGCAGAGGAGGAAGGTTTATTTCCAAATTCACAGGACCGACTAAACAAACACATGGCTGCCCAGTGGAAGGACTGCGCCTCTCGCCAAGTGTCCCACTGTTTCTCCCAGCGGAGCAGTGACTGTCACCGGTACCAGTCAGAGGCACGAACGGGAAACACCCGAAACCAGATGTGCAGGGAGAAAAACGCCGGGCAACCCTCCGGCTCTGTTCCCCCTACTGCAGGTGGGAGGAAAACGTTACACCTACAAATTCCGCGTGTTAGAAGTCCTAAAGTGGCAACAGAAAAAGGACATCCAAGGCACTAGGTTCACGCGTGCGTGTAAAATTTGAGTATGTAGACACGAAATTAGATTTGGGTCAGCGACATCATCAGACTGAGTGGAGATTTCTGGGCTAACCACACACTTTTCTGTGCGTGAATAGTTGAAAAAGTAACCTGCACACACGACTGGCCCCAATCTGATAAATCTGGAATACATGTTTACTCATGTGTCAGTAATGAAAATGACTACAATTAACGTCAATATGAAAATATTATTTGATGAACTCTAGAAAGAAGCATGGAATGTTCTGGGGATGTTGCCTGCTGGACGCCATTTCCAGATTTCTTAGCCAGCGGGGTTATTCCACGTGACACCCCCAAATCTCTTGGAAGAGAATTTTTTCTCCCTACCCCACACCAGCTCCCAGTCTCCCAGGTGAAAATGAAAACATTGTTGCTGTCTGGTAAAGACCCGCCCTGAGTATTGTCCTCCAACGGACAGACTGTTGTTCTAGAACTTTGCTCTGGAAGTTCTAGTCCTTGGTGTAAAACTAGTTACAATATTTGAAAGCAAGAGACGAGATCAACATAATTTGAAAATTATGACTGTTCACCTAGAAAACTCAAGAGGCAGTGAAAACTGTTCACCCGGTGAGGGAAAGTTTGGCAAAATACTCAGTTACAGGACTAAGGAATGAATGATTTTATTACATTGAAGCACTAACTTTGACCTATGTCCAACCCAAGAACAGGATAGAAAGTATTATGAAAAAGAACTGCATTTCCTACAACAGTAAAACCTAAAAAAAAAGACTAAGAAACAAATGTAATAAAAACGTAAAGGATGTTGAATAAGAAAATTTCACAATCTGAAAGAAGCTTTTAATAGAGAAATGCCATATTCCTGGACAAAAACAAACAAACAAACAAACAAACAAACAAAAAAAACCAAACATATCATAAGATGCCAATTTCCCCTGAGTTAATTGACACATTTTATGTGATTCCAATCAAAACGCCAGGGTTTATCTAAATGACTAAATTGTTCTTGCAGTCCAAATGTCTCGAAAGAATGGCAAGAGATTCTAAACTTTCGGATATCAAACAACACTATAGGGCTGCAACAGAGAACTGAAGAGAAGCGAGAGATAGAAACGAAAAAGTGCAGACATAGGAGACACTGTCTACGTTATGAGCCAATGGTTGACAGCTGATGTGTGGAGCATTTCACAAGATCCAGAAAAGGGTCAGGCGTTAAGCAGCCAGTGCCTAGGAAAATGAAATCAAATCCCTGCGGCACACCTTACGCTAAAGCAAATCCACCAGGGGTTGGAGTTAAGTGTGGAAGGGGAAGGGAAAACTGCTCACAGGAAGGCAGAGCAGTAACGTCTTCTTAAGAACATCAGCGCAAAACCCCCAAAGGACTAATAGAGCTGATGAGAGAAAATTAAAAGGGAAAAACCATCCACTCTTTGTGTTAGAGTTCTCGGGGGAGACAGAGCGGACGGGGTCTACTGCAAAGGCGGGGTGGGGACCGCTCGCCAGGAGCTGGTTCACCCAGCGCTGGTGCCATGGTGGTCTGCGTCCACAGGCCGGAGGCCGGAGAAGTCAGCGGTGAGGTTCAGACCGAGGCAGAGGGCCTGAGAAACAGAGCTGAGGGTGCAAATCCCAGCCCGGGGGCAGCAGAGGGTGGGACGGGATGTCCTTGCTCAGCAGGGAGGCAGAAGAAGGGAAGACCCCTCCCTGTGCCTTCTGGTCCCCTGGGCCTCGAGGACTGGCTGGTGCCCACCTGCGCTGGAAGGAGCCCTCCCCGGCAGATGCTCATCTCACCTGCAGCTCTGCACAGGCCCACCTGGGAGTACTGTCCAATCTGGGCGCCCAGTGGCCCAGTCAAGCTGACATTTTAAAATTAAAGATCACAGTATTTAAAAGAAAAACACCATCAGTCAAATTAAAAGTCAAACAGAAAGCTCAGGACAATTTGTAGGAGCCGTCTGCTGAATATATATATATATTCATATATATTCATACATATAGGTATATGAAAACACATTTTGTTATGTATATAATACTTGCATATATATATATACATGAAAAAATCTAGTTAAATATAGGAGTATATAATACAGCCATATTTGTGGAAAATATGCATGTGTCGTTATAACAAATAAAGAAATTTGAAATTTTTCAATAGTAAAATTGTAGGTTAGTGCAAAAATATTTTCTGGGTTCATATGTTTTTTTGGTTTTTTTTTGCATTGAGCTTGCTTTGTAATATGAGAAACGCTCTTTAAAATGAAAGAAGTTGAATGGTAAGCGGGAGCAGCATATAAATAATTAAATTATTCATTCACTACATAATGCTTATACTTCTGAAAAGAGAAAATATTGGCCAAATTGCAATGTTAAATATAAGCGTCAACCTCAGGCATGGAAAATAGGTAACACGAGAAAGACAGAGGTGAAGGCGAATGTATGTTTTTCCATCTGCCTGTCCACGGCGGGAGACGAGCCGTGGAACGCTGCGTGTTTTGGAATGCACGCTCCCTTTTGCAGAACTGTGGGGGGCCGCGTCTGATCACACCCACATCTCAGCCACTGCTGGCCCCACTGCCTGCGCACAAACCCGACGCCAACCCGACACTCGCCCTAACGTGGCTCCACAGACCACAGACGCCGGGTGTGTGGTGTGTACGAGCGTGAAATAACTTACGCTCCAATAATGTGTGTGGGGATCTGAATGCAAACAGCAACTTTGCATTTTATAAAGAAATGCGTGTAGAGGCCAGCTCAATCACCCCTTTGAAACTTTGAGCTACCCAGAGCAAAGATGAGGATGTCAAAACTAACACGCACAGGAGACTTAGTTCTGTTCAAGGCAAATCTCGAGGTCCAGCTTTCTGCCGAGCTGCCCCGTGAAGCAGATCCGAAATGATTTCGGATGAGCATAGTTTAAAAACATTACTAAAATATTTTCTGATTTTATAGCATTTGATAAAGTCGGGGAGTTTTTTGATGTGTTTTCTTTCAAAGTGAATGGATGCTGTTTTGGCAACTTTGATATTTCATTTGAAGAGAGTATAATAAACTGCTTTCTTCGTATTGATTGAAGAAATATAGTGCTTATTTGTTTGCTGGGTTTTCTAGTAGTTATTCGATAGGTTAAAGGGCAAGGCCATCTGTTTCCTAACAGGACATTTTGTGTAAGATTTGCAAGTCCTACAGGCACCTTTAAGCATGGATAAATATGCACTCTTGGTTTCAGATGGGTAGTTTTTTACTACCAAAGGATGATTATGCTGTGTGCCTTGAGACATTGGCTATAATATATTTCCTGTCCCTTTTATTGCATTTTGGAATCATAAACAATGACTGTTTGGCTCAAAGCCATTTATTCAGCCCAAAAAGACATTATTTGCACAACAAAAATCAATAAAAATGTTACTAGGTCTGGCTGGACACTTTGCCTAACTGTGATATTTGTCTGTCACTGATGGCATGCCGTCTCTGGCGGGGGACTGAGGCCAAAACACAGCTATTGATCCAGTCAGCGGTGATGGATACCGGCATTTGGGAAGGGCTGCTGCGGAGAATCTCGATTAAAAAAATATTTCTAGGTTTCGCCTGCAGCGGAGTCAAGACAACCCGAGCGAGGAGATTTTCTCTGTTCTGTTGGGCTTCTCCCTCTTGTGGTGGGGAAGCGCTCCGGACCAAAGCCATTATGGAAAGAATTAAGTCAATCTGTGTTTAGCCGAGGGCTCTGGCACCACGTCAAGCTGAGCTGATTTAGACGCGAGCCCCTGTCATTCTCATCACCTGAGAGTGTCGGGAAAGCGCTTTATACACACCAAGGGTAGCCGAGTGCCACGAGGAGGGCCTGGCTTGCCTTCCCTCTCTTTTTGCATCATCTGTTTGTGCCGAGAAGAGCGGGGCTGACTGCTCCCCCCACCCCGAAATTACTGACTAGGCAGCGTCACTTCTGAAACCAGCAATTCAGTTGAGACTAAAGGGGCTACCCGAAACTGAGCCGGCTGATACAGAAAGAGACCAAACAGGTGACAGGCAATTCACTGCGCCCAGCTGCAGGGAGAACGTGGCATATTACCCTCCAGCCCCATACATCTAAACCACAAAACCGTTTTTCTCCTTGCACTTGACATCTCCCCATCCTCAGCACAAGCGTGACGCATAGAGCCACTCTGGACGGCGGTATAGACGGCTGAAAAAAATACTTTTATTTTACTTCATCACATTTCATTTATGTATCCACGTATTTAAGGCTCCGTGGGAAACGGAGCTGTTATTGGAAGAGGGGCCCAGCACTCAGGGGATGACGGAGGGCCATCCGTGAGCCGCCATCGGGGCGGCCGGCTGGAGCCAGCTAACCCCACGGCGCTGGGGGCACCTTCAGCGCGAGATGCAGCAACTGGACTGTGCGTAGTGTGTGTGTGTGTGTGTGTGTGTGTGTGTGTGCGTGCGTGCGTGTGTGTGCGTGCGTGTGTCAGGTTCCTGGTGACGCTGTTCCACGGGATCCCGAATTTCACCCCAAAGCAGTTCATTCGGTTCCCCAACTGGCCTGCAGGACTGTTTCTTTGAATCCGCCAGTCACTGCTGAGTGAGGCCTGCGGGGCAGAGTCCGATTGTGCTCGGCTCTTGTGCTTTTGTTTGCAAACCAGACACTGACCACAAAGTCTGCACATGTCACTACTGTTATATTTCAATTTCCTAAATGCTCTGCATGGGGTGGAAATAATTAGAACGAGCAATGGAAAACCGACTGACGTTGCCAGCCTCGGCTGTTTGCAGGTGAGAAATGTGGGCTGGTGATTTAGAGCGAGGCGTGACCGGCGTGTGGGAGCCGCCCCGTGATGGCTCTGTAAACAGGCGAGATTCCTGTGCGCTTCGCAGCTCAGATCCTGCCTGATATGTGCATGTTTTACACTACTGATGTATACATTTTTTTTTTACTGTTTCACATCGTGTGTGGTTTTCTAATCTTTTGGTATGGCTAAATTTGTAAGGAGACAGAAAAGTGCCGTATTACAATAATTCAAAGCATGGTTTGCAGAGGTTACATGACTAACAAACACATACAGCATTGTAATTGCATTTCCTGATTGCAAAGGCATATATAATGTAGCATATATACACCTTATATACGTGAAAGTATATAAGGCACACGCAGACACACATACACTGCACATAGTCATGTGTGTGCACACACGTGTGTGTGCAGCTATTTCCTGGCTTAGGTGACATTTGAAGCATTTACCATGAACACATTCTCAAAAGTATATTTTCTGTGACGCTAGCTTTGTTAAGGTTGCAGTTCTCACGGGAGGGGGCCGCTCCAAGTCACCATTGCAGATGGCTGCTGGGCTGCGGCTGTCGCGCGCCAGAAACCGTCCCCTGCAGGTCCTCCCGGCGGGAAGGCGCACGCACTGCTCACCGCTCCCGGAGTGCCGGTCCCAGGCACCGTTCCTGCTCACTCTCCCAAACCCGCGCAGTCACCAGTGATGAAAACTCACTCCCTTTCATCTCGCCGCAGAGGAAAACCAAGCAGGCCTTCTGAGGCTGGAGCAGATGCTCTTTGAACACGGGGAGGCACGCACACCCCTGCGGCATGCCCTCATGCGGCAGCTCACTCCCATTTAATAGAATAGATGCGATGAAGGCCTCGTAAATGGAGTGAACAGCCAGCTCTAAATAGATTTTGTCTCATCCTGCTGGTTCTCCTAAAAATTTAAATGGGCTTTTAAAAATGTCTATTTCGCAAGTCGAAGAACAGACCGGCGGATGTGTCCCTCTCTCGCTAACACTTCAGCACGGGGTGTTCCGTTTTTAAGACTCATTCCAGTCTGGATTTGGCCCGTTTCTTTTAATTCCTTTTGTGAGTTGATTTTACATTGACGGCTTCTATGCAAGACCTTGAATTTTCATTCCTGATAAGATGGGCAATCATCTCTTCCTGACAGCGCAGAACGCTGGGATGCATACGGGAGAGGGACGCGTCTGTGTTTGGGAGGTGTTCCAGGAACAATAGATTGTTGATGTTGTTCTTAATCAACTGAGAAAATGGCCTAATTGGAGGACTTTAACAAAGATTTGCTGAATGACTGTCGAAGTGAAAGTGCATTAGTTTAAGTTTAATACTAAATCTAGCTAATTGGAGCTAAATTGTCTTTTCAATAGCTAATCCAGCGGAGTGTGAATGGTAAATTATCTTCATCCGAACAATAAAACGACCACCAGCCTGGAATTGTCTTCGGAGGCGCGTGGGCCAAGGGTAATGTCTGCTCTGCGAGTCAATCCAGGTCTGCCACTGAGATGACATTGTGGATTTCTGGCAGTGCCACCGTCCCTGCCCTGTGAGGGGACCATCCAGTGCTGCTGTTAGGGTACAGCGTCATTGTGAGGTGTCAAAACCAGGTGGGCACGAAAAATCCAGTTAGCATGAGCATGCATCAGCCAATGCAGGACCTCGCCGAGACACTGTGTTCAGATGGTGCCTGAGCCATCCAAACAGCGGCCCAGATGGAGTAAATACTTTCCTACTCCCTGATCGATTCTATCGATCGTCATTAAAGCAGCACGCTCAAAACAATGAAGTGGTTTCGCCTTTCCAGGCTCCAGGTGGAGCTTCCAGGCTCCAGCCTCTTCCCCTTTCCGGTTAAGAGCGTCATTAAATGTATGAGCAAACAGCACATGGAGAGGCCAAGTGTTTTATTAATTCATCATCAGAATTATCTCAGCGCATTAATATTAATAGCCTCAAATTGGATTCCATTTAAGAGGTGAAAGAAATATGCAGATAGTGAAAGCCTGCACAGCCAAGAGCCGTGCCGGGGCAGTCACCTCCAGCGCTGCCTCGGGAGGGCTGTGGGCGCCACCTTCGTCCCCGGATGGGGTCTGCCGGGAGGGACAGCCGGGCTGGGGACGGCGGCTGCAGCGCGGGAGCGGGAGCCGCCCGCCCAGCCTGTCCGTGCCGCCTGCAGGCACGAGGTGCGGGAGCATCTTCCAGGATCCCGTGCAGGGCGGGGGCCCGCACGACTCGAGGAGAACCAGCTCTGCACAAAGAAAGCTTCTCTCAAGTTTTGCCTCCTCCCCAAAGGGAGACGAGGAGAAACCGAGTCGCGTGGCGTTGCACAAATGCAGGGGAGTGCAGGGCGGAGGTCAGAATGATTTGGCCTTTATTCAGAAAGGTCTTTGACATCATCGAAGATAAGCAGAACTCCCTTTGGGCATTTTTAAAAGCTGTGTATGTAATTTTCCACCCGGCCACGGACAAACGACCAGCTAGGGCTGGACCACTCATGGGGGGGGGGGGCAGAAAATGGCGGAAATTGACTTCCTCACAGCTCTGGAGGCCAGAAATCCCAACCCCCTTCTCCGAAACTCCGGGTAGACTCTGTCCTCGCTCCCGGCACTCCTCGGCTTGCAGCTGGACCCCTCCGACCTCCGAGCCTGTCGCAGTGGCCTGCTCCCGGTGCCTCTGTGTCTTCTTGTGAGGACCCAGGCCAGTGCTGATGACGTCGTCTCAACCCGACTGCACCTGCCAAGACCCTCGTTTCAAATATGGTCACAGTCACAGGTGTCAGGGGTTTGGACTTCACCGGATCATTTGGTTGGGGGGACATAATTCACCTGATAACACCAGGATAATTTTGGAAATAGAGAAAAGTGTCTGTGCATCAGCCCAGCCAGCGGGAAGCACTTGTCCCTGGCACCTGGAGGGAAGTACAGGTGACTTCGGGGAGAGGAGAACGGCCTCGCAGACGCTGAGGGCGCGGACATGGAACATCAGCGGGCAGAGGACAGACCTTCTGCCCGAGCAGAGCAGGTCTAGTGCACAGGGGCACAGCGACCCCCCAACCCCAGCCCTGCCCACCTGCAGCTGTGTTCCTGACCGGCTCCCAGGCGCCCTCGGAGGACTCTCAGGGCTCAGCACGTGGCCTCGGGCACCACTGCAGACCAGAGCTCTGGGGGACGACGTGCTGCTGGGCCCCTGGGTGGAAGGATGCTGCAGGCAGGACGGCTTCGGTGCACGGAAGGTTCTGGGCCTTGGCTGGACAGAGAGGGGGAAAGGAACCACATGAAGACTCAGCCTTTATCTTTTTTATTATTTCGCATGAGCTTTGCCCCGTTACCCGGGGTAACTAGCACTGTTTATCATACTGCACTGCTGCGGGCAGACCTGGTCCCTGCGCAGGGACTGCGGGGCCCGACGGTCCCCACCCAGCCCCGACCCAGCCCGCAGCTCCAGGGTGCAAGGTGCAAGGGGCAGGGGGTGAGAGTGACACACCAACCACACGGCTTCAGGGTGAACAGCCCACCGGCTCCCACCAGCCCCAGGGACACAGGTCCCCCCAGAGTGTCCCTCACTTGCCTTCCCCAGGAGGGTGACTGTAGGTCACTGGAACAACTTACTCTCATTTAAACTCTTGCTTACCTGCCTCAGAACATTGAGCTACTAGCATTCGGAGATTAAGTTTAATTCATCCAAATTCTTATTTACCTACCTCCGAACATTGAGATACTAGCATTTGGAGATTAAGTTATTATATTATAATGCATTCTCTTACCAGAACGTTTTGGGAGAGACATGTATAATCCAGCATAATGGATAATTTCTATTTCTTAAATTGTATTTCAAATGAGCAGTTAATGATTTCTGAGGCTAGAAACTTAAAGAAAGGAAAGGAAATGAACGGAATCCCATAATTAATTTAACCACATGCTAAAATGGATTTGGGGCAGGATAGACTCAATGAAAATGCAAATGTATTTTACACGTAATTTTTTTCCCTAAATAACCCAAAATAGCACTGTACTGGGGCAGGACTGCTTTGCTGGGCAGACTGCCCCCAGACTGACCCCAGTGTTTCTGTCCAAATACTCCCTGACACTCAGCCCTGCCGTCGCTGTGTTGGAGAGCTCTGGTCTCGGGTAGAGAGACCCCCCGTGTCTGCATGAGCTCTTTTTCAGCTCCTCCCGCTGTTTGGAGGACCAGGATGAGGTTGTGGGACTTCTTGAAGTGAAGCAGAATATTCCTTATAAGTCATGCTCACCCCAGGTGGACAGGGAGGTACCAGAGAACCAAGAGCATCCAGGATTTCCATGGCAACGCACCAGGGACTCCTGCCTACCCAGGGCCTTGTGGAGTTTTCGGGGGGACCTGAGGGACTCGGGGGCACAGGCAGCCACTCACCCTGGGGCAGGTCCCTGAGGGTGGGCACTGACGCACCTGCACTCACTGCCATGGCCCTGGGACCCCAGGGCTCCCAGTGGCCCAGGTGTCACCTGCGCCACCAGCCAACTTAGCATGGAGTGACCAAAGCCGCCTGAGGCCTTGTCATCAGACACACAAGCCCAGCAGCCCCCTTGTCATAGTTTGGGGCCTTCCTTCCCCGGGTCCTGTTGGTCTTGATCTGTCCTGCTGCAGAATTCCTCCTGGATGCAAACCTTCCGCTCCTACTGCCGTCTCACCTCCTTCTCAGCGTACGGGAGATGAATCCGAGCAGTGCTCCCACGGTGACAGAGGTAAGTGCACACACAGCGAGTGACGTGGGGGGACCAGAGTCTGCCATGAGAGGCTAAGATGTTCTTCCACGCCCAGGGAACTGAGGCGAAAAAGAAAATAACAGGAAAGAAAGAGAGGATTGAAGGGAGGGAGGGAGGGAGGGAAAGCGGGCGGGAGCTTCAGGAACAGGACGAAATGACGGTACAATCATCAATCTAATTTTCCTCTTTTTCATCTTACCTGCTTCTTAGTGTTTTCTCAAACATTCTAGCACAGTGTTGCATTGGTTTTGAGATCAACATTCAAGAGAAACCCTACTCTTCCCAGACAAGACCTTACTTAGGTTGACATCCTTCTGGAAAATTCTCTAACCACGGAATTCCAAGCCCCTCCTCCGGCCTCCCACGTTGCCAGTGGAGCAGGTGTCCACGCATGGACGCGCACGGGGAGGGAGGGCCCTTTCTTTCCTCTTTCTTCCTTGCCGTGGACCCGCTGATTCACGGACGCTGCTCACCACGGGGCACGTGGACCCCGGGCACTCGCCACGCCCGGCCAGGGCCAGCCTCTCTTCTCCGATTTTGTCCGTGGCCACGCACCTCGTTTCTAATGCTGAGCCACGTCAAGCAATGTAAATATCTATGTCCTTTAGAAAATCTCTTAGGTATCGGTGATTCTTATTACTTGCCATAGATCACCAGGAGTCAGGTTTTTGGGCCAAACGGTTTCCAGATTGCTTGTCAAAAGTCCAGCAATTCACAGCCCCACCAGGAATGTCTGAGAGTCATTTTTTTCTTAGCATTCCTATACTCAATGAATTCTTTTTTTAACTTTTCTTTCCTTTTTAAGCTATGAGCTACTAGAGTTAAATAGTTGATAGACTCTTTTTAAATTTCCAAGTTTTGAGCTTTTCTTTCATTGCTGATGTGTGTGATTTTTATCAGGGAGTGGCACTTATTCTTAAGGACTTCTTTAATTCATATGAAATTTTTAAATTGTTTCATGTTTCAAAAGAATATATACTCTCCGCTCCTTGTACACACATACCAAGAACTGTACCAGGATCAGGCTTGCTATTCAAATCCCAAGTGTGTCCTCACTTGTCAGGGGATACTTGATCTGAGCAAGAATGTTCAGATTTTTCTCTTTGTGTTTCTAATGAGCCTTTGCTTTATCTGCCTCAGAATTTTATTGTTAGATGAATAAATGTTGTTTACTTATACCTGCTTGCTAGATTCTTACTTCCATGCATGCAACTTGCTGTGTAATAATAAAACATATTAGTCCCTTTTAATCACTCTTGGCTGGGATTCTACTTACTTTGACGGCCTTATTCTCCTTTGCTGCTAGATTGTTTTCTTTTTCTTGCGTCCTATTCGCGAGTCACCTGTTGTAGGCAGCTCCTTCCACATATAGGAATGAGGTCCACTGTCTGGTGACCAAGTCCTGGTGTGTGGGTCATACCGGGTGACTCCCTTCTAAGGGACAGAATCGGACAAATGTGATGGACGGCCATGGCCACGAGTGGGCGGTGAGGAGACCGTGTGGCACTCGGGGGTCTCGCTCACTCTGGGGGGCTCTCCGGGCACGCCCTCCCACGGAGCCCGCTGCCTCTCGAGGGCTGCTCAGTGGAGAACCCAGAGTGTTCCAGCCAACGGCCCGAGAGGAGCTAGACCCTCAGTCCCGCCACACCACACGAGGACCTGGGTTCTGCCCTCAGCTGCCGAGTGCCCCAGAACGTGGGGCCTTCCCCGCCATGTCTGGGCACGAAGACACCTTCAGCAGAGCGGGGAGGGACGGAACCAGACGGCTCGGCTCAGCCACGCTGTGACTCCCGGCTCTGCAAACCTGTGCCGTGGCATAACACGTCTATTGTTTCAAGCCACTGAGTTTTTGGGCGGGGGGTTATTACACAGCGATGTAATAAACTAACTCACTCAACAGAACGTAGGGGGATGTTTTCCTACTCTTGGACTTTCTTGAAACAGTTGAGTTTAACCGGTTCACCACCATTACTGCTTGTGGATATCTCCAGGCTTATTTTTTGTTGCCTTATTTTATGATGTCAGTTCTTCTTAAAACTTTAGCATATTTAATTAACTTGGGCAAATTTTAAATTGCCCATTTTAAACACATTTTAAATTGTGTTGTTTAAGCTTTGGTTTTCCTGTGAATGCCTAAATTTAATAAATTTCTTCTTCGTGTATGAGATTAAAAAAAAGACCTCTCTTACACAGTAAACATTCATGTTAAAACCATCTTGAATGATATTCATATGTTTCTATCAGTATTAACTTGTTATTACCCGAAGATTTTTTATGTGTAAAGATGAGTTTTACTAATTTCTTTGCTCACCCTAGTTTCCTAAACCGCACATTGTTTTTTGCAGACTTGCTCTTGCTTGGTGCCTGATACATCTGCACACAATTTTTCCCTCAGTGGTGACCTGAGTTTGCTATTCGACATGTTTGGCAATTTTTGTTTCATCTTCAAACTGAAAAGCTTATCTTGTTCGATAAATGGTCCTGAGTTAAAAATATTTTTCATTCTGAACTATTCTGTGTTCTCTGCTGTTGGTTCACTACTATTGAGATGAAGATGTCTCTTTCCTCGAGTTTGTTTTTCTCAGTTTTGTAAGTTTGGGTTGTTTGTTCCCATTTGTGACTGTGACGGTTTTTCCCGCAGCCTCGGGGAGGAATCCTGCGAATGCCGATCTCATCTCGGATCCTGCTCCAGCATCGGGTCAGGTGGGCTGGAGAGCTGGTGTGGGGGAGGGGCCCTTTGTCCCTGACAGGGCCGCGCCACCTGCCCAGTGCCCTGCGCTCTCCTGCCGCATTATCTCTGGGAGATCCTGGGCCCATCCCACCTGGTGACAGAGGCCTGGGGTGCCCGAGCTGCTCCAGCCACTGAGAGGGAAGCTCTGAAGGCCTTGGATTGGGCGAGGCCACATCAGGGGACAGTTCCTAATCCTGAACAGTTCCTAATTCCAGCTCTTTAAATAAGCTCCAGACATATCAGGCACAATGCACACATGCAACACACACGCAATGCACGCACAATGCACACATGCAACACACACAATGCGCACATGGAACATACAATGTGCACATGCAACATGCACAGTGCACACATGCAATACACACGCAATGCACACACAATGCTCACATGCAACACACACAATGCACACATGCAACACACACAATGCGCACATGGAACACACAATGTGCACATGCAACATGCACAGTGCACACATGCAATACACACACAATGCACACACAATGCTCACATGCAACACACACACAATGCACACATGCAACACACAATGCGCACATGCAACACACACAATGCACACATGCAACACACAATGCGCACATGCAACACACACAATGCACACATGCAACACACAATGCACACATGCAACACACAATGCGCACATGCAACACACAATGCACACAAATGCAACACACAATGCGCACATGCAACACACAATGCACACATGCAACACACAATGCGCACATGCAACACACAATGCACACAAATGCAACACACAATGCGCACATGCAACACACAATGCACACAAATGCAACACACAATGCGCACATGCAACACACAATACACGCACAATGTACACGTGCAACATGCACACAATGCACACATGCAATACAGTGTACACATGAAATGCACACACAATGCACACATACAACACACATGCAACGCACACACAATGTACATGTGAAACATGCACACAATGTACACATACAACAGACAATGCGCACATGCAACACACACAGTGCACGTACAACATACAATGCAACATGCATACAATGCACACATGCAATATATACACAATGCACACAATGCACACACAATGCACACATGCAGCACATACAATGCATGTGCAATGTGCCTGTGCAACATGCACACAATGCACACATGCAACACAGTGTACACATGAAATGCACACACAATGTACACGTGCAACACACAGTGTACACATGAAATGCACACACAATGCACACGTGCAACGCATACACAATGCACACACATACAATGCACACTGTGTTAGGAGACAGAATCTCCACAGAGTATGCAAGCCAGCTAGGAGAAGGACTGGAAGCCAGGAGACTGCCAAAAACCCTTGTGGGAAAAAATAAACCTAAGGAGAGAACTGGGAAAACAGAAATTTAGACTTTGTTACATATGAAATATAATTCAATGGAGGACCTACCTCAGGAAAAATTAAAAATTGATCATAACCACTAAAACTTTACAAAAAATAAAACTACTTACAACTACGAGTATATCTGTGAAAATCTCAATTCCTAATTATAAAAGGAAAATATGAGTACTTAGATGATTTCCCAGGAATGTGCTGTAAGCTCACACATAGGGCCATTTCCAAACCTTTAAACGCACAGTTAATATTACAAGTGCGAAGAAAACAGAGACAATTATTTCTTCTTGACAAGGAAAGTAGTGTGTTTTAAAATATTCCAGAGTTAACGCAGACACGAACACACTTAATTACTGTGCTGTGTATGAGTGTGGATGCTGTTAATCTATCTGCTGCATGTGTGTTACAAACAATCAGTGTTAAACCATAGATTTTTCAAAGAAAATCACAATTCTGTATATTTGAGTTTTGAGAACACAATTTTTTGATGATGCAGAGCTGCAATTTAAACGTTTTTGTTTTCCAAAAATAATGTCAAAGCCTGGCACTTTTCAGCTTGGCGGCTTCCCGACCAAGCCGGTTTCATCTGGGAGAGGGGAAGTGAGACCCATTCGGGTCTGAACCTACTCAGTGAAGAGTGAATAAACCAGTGACCCCAAATATCTCTAAAATTATAAAAACCAAAATTGTTATTACAGTTGTCAGAAAATAATAATTTTATTTGGGAGCTGCAAATATATGATCATTTTGAGTAGTATTTAATGTACTATTTTTTATACTTTTGTGACTTATTCTTTTAAATTTTTATATATGAACAATTAGCAAATTCTTAGTGAAGATGTGATTACTTCAGAGTTTTCTACAACATAGAATTCATAACACACTTCCAAATGTTCTATCCATTAAGTATTTTCATAAAGCATTGATCTCTGACTCTTTTTATTATTTTATTTTTTTTGGGGGGGAATATTTTTAATATCATGATTATTTGTAATACCATAAACAGCCTGAAAAAGTCTTAACATTCAACATTAGCTGGATAATTACCTCCATTTGACAATTTTAGTTCTGAAAGGTTTGCAATGATATTTAAATTAAAATAAAAAAACACAATTCTGCATTCTGTTTGAGTTTTGAGTTTGAGCAGACTTCTGTAAAATGTGTTTTGTGGAGAACACCTAGAAGAAAATACACACCAAGGTTGATAGTTGTTTCTAAATCGCAGGACTAACTTGGCAACATGACTTCTTCTTTAGATATATCAGTATTTGAAACTTACCTTCAGTACCTGTGTCTTATTTTATCTATGCAAATATGACAAGGTAAACACAATTTTTTTTCTTTAAGCCTATGCAGATTTGAGAATAAAAAGAGGCTTTCCTTTATTTTATTCACAATGTAGTTCTATTATTTTGAAAGTAGTTTCAGACATCACAAGGGGTAAAAAGTTCACGAAATTTCATTTCTGTACTTTGCTATTATTTTATTTGGGGGAGGGCATTTTCTTTTCTTTTTTTCTTTTTTTTTTTAAAAATTATTTCAACATATTATAGGGGTACAAATGTTTAGGTTACATATATTGCCTTTGCCCCACCCGAGTCAGAGCTTCAAGTGTGTCCATCCCCCAGATAGTGCACATCACACCCATTAGGTGTGTATATACCCATCTCCCCTCCCCCCTCTCACCTGCCAGACACCTGATGAATGTTACTATTATATGTGCACTTAAGTCTTGATCCGTGGGTTTGATGGTGAGTACATGTGGAGCTTGTTTTTCCATTCTTGTGATACTTCACTTGATAGCAATGGGTTCTAGGTCTATCAGGAAAATACAAGAGTGCTAGATCACTGTTGTTCTTATACGCTGATAGCTACCTCCATGTGTATACATATACCACATTTTATTAATCCACTCATGTATTGATGCACTTGGGTTGTTTCCACAACTTGGCTACTGTGGATACTGCTATAAACATTCAAGTGCAGATGTCTTTTTTATAGAATGTCTTTTTTCCCTTTGGGTAGATGCCCACTGATGGGACTGCTGGATCAAATGGTAGATCCACTTGTAGCTCTTTGAGGTATCTCCATATTGCTTTCCATAGAGGTTGCACTAGTTTGCAGTCCCACCAGCAGTGTAGGAGTGTTCCTATCTCTCCACATTCATGTCAATATTTGTTGTTTTGGGACTTTTTGATAAAAGCTATTCTCACTGGAGTTAAGTGATAACTCATTGTAGTTTTGATTTGCATTTCCCTTATGATTAGAGACGTTGAGCACTTTTTTATATGTTTGCTGGCCATTATTAGTCTGTCTTCTTTTGAAAAGTTTTTGTTTATGTCCTTTGCCCACTTTTTAATGAGGTTGTTTGGTTTATTTCTTGCTGATTTTCCTGAGTTCATACAGATTCTAGTTATCAGCCCTTTATCGGATGTGTAGCATGCAAGTATTTTCTCCCATTCTGTAGGTTGTCTGTTTGCTTCTGTGATAGTTTCTTTGGCTGTGCAGAAGCTTTTTTAATTTGATCAGGTCCCCTTTATTTATTTTTGTTGCTGCTGTGATTGCCTTTGGTGTCTTCTTCATAAATTCTTTGCCTAGGCCAAACGTCTGTAAGCGTTTTCCCAACATTTTATTCTAGAATTCTTATAGTTTCATGCCTTGGGTTTAAGTCTGCTATCCACCGTGAGTCGATCTTTGTGAGAGGTGAGAGGTGTGGATTCTGTTTCAGTCTTCTGCACATGGCTATCCCGTTTTCCCAGCACCATTTACTGAATAAGGATTCTTTTCCCCAGTGTATAAGCAATTCTTCAAATGTTGTGGCCTGCATTGAGAATGAAATTAATGTCTACCCCAGTTGAGTAAAAGTAAATTTTTTAATTGTTGAGCTAAAGGCTCCATGAGGCTAACACGACTTTGCAGCAAGGCTATTTGGCTTGGATCCCGCCGTTATCGGGCTCCTGACACTCCTCGCCGGTTACTGACGCACCTGTTCAGGCACTTGTCTCCCTGTCTGGAAGTTCAGGCTGGAAAAACTCACTCATCGGAGGCAACATTGGTTCACGACTTCAAAACTAGAAGGCCCACAAAGAGGGTTTCGTGTAGGGGAGTCTCTTCTTGGGAGTGACCCCCCACCCCCTACAATCCAAGACGTCCCCGCTGGTGCTCAGTGGCCACCTGTCCTGGGCTGGCGAGAGGCATCAGGCTCCTGAAGGTGAAGCATGTTGAGTAAGGAGCAGAGACCTTTCACCCCGAGTCTTTTTCTAGAAAGGCCTGCAGCAGTGACAGCCCCGGCTGGCCGCTGGCAGGTGCAGCCTGAACGCCAGGGCTCTCCCTGCCGGGAGGTGCTCCCCACGGAGCTGTGCCACCTCCACGGGGGCTATGTGGCCTCATGTCCTCCAAGTGAGTTTTCAAAAGGTTGAAATCTGAGCTCGGGAATCAGGGCTCGGCCACTCCTGCAGTGGGACACAGGGCCGCACCATCCTGTCTGTCCTGTGGGACCATCCTCCGGGCAACGCTGACTTCTGCGGGGCCTCGGAGAGCCCCAGCGCGGGGGCCCCAACCTGTCCCCGGGGTTAACGTACGTGCAGACTCAAAAAGCCGCGTAGCAACATGCCCGTGGTCACACACTGATAAGAAAAGTCAGGTGTTTGCATACTAGGAAAATCATGTGTACCGCCGGGTCAGCGAAAATACCGATGTTATTTCAATTGCAGGGGGAAGAACTCATGCTATTTGTCAAAAATTAGTGTACAAGTAACCCCCATTTGGAATTTTGGGTATGTTTACTGAAACACACGTGGCATTTCAGACCACAGTGCCTCTTGGCAACTCTTTCTAGCAGGACTGGATTCAGAAAATGCCTGCCACAAAATACCTAGAACTGCAGCATTTTTCCTAAGAGAAAATAAATAAAT